CAGTGCTTCCTCTCCTCCTGTTTCATAAGCGCTCCTGAACAAGCACCCTTTAAGCTAAAACTTACTCATTCCCTGGAGCCACTTGGTTTATTAAACCCCAACCCTCCTGCTCTAAGGTCTAGATGTCTTTCTGAAACCAGCTGCTCAGAAGATTCCTCTCTGTCCCCCCACCGCAGGGTCTCCTACCTGCTGGCAGCAAACCAAATCCTGTCCACAGGCTCCTGTGGAGGCACTCATAAACCTTGGCCGACCAAGCACTGCGCCTGCTCTTCCCACCCTGAGTACCCAGCACCTCCCCAGAACCAGCGAGATGCTCAGTGACCACCAGCAGCCAGGACTTAATTTTTACTAAGGTGTCACTTGGGCTCTTCCAGCTGCTGCTTACTGTAATTATCTCATTTACCCAGAGAAATCCAGGCTGTCTGTGTTAAAGGGAACTAGTCAACTCAAGTGGAGATTTTTCCCCACAAGCATCAGAAACAGCAGCAGTGAGGGTTCAGGCTCTGGCTCTCTGTGCTGCTCCCAAATGCTTTACCTCTGCTTGCACTGGGGGACTAATGCTCAAAACCTCCTGCCACCAGCAGCCCAGCCTTGCCCTCCCATCTGCTCCCCTTTTTCTTTATGAAGGCAAATATAGTGTCAGATAAAAAGAAAAAACCCACAATAAAAAAAAAAATAAAAAGAGAAAAGTGCATGCAGACACTAGTTTTAATGACTGCATCGTTAAGTGGCAGCCGATCTCCATTTCATGCATGTTCATTAATCCGCAGCCGCGCTCCCTTTCCCATATGGCTTTGTTTCTGTACATACAGTTGGAGGGAGGCGGGAGAGAGGGTAAGCAGGGGAAAAAGAGGGGGGAGTTGTCGAGATCTTGATGATTTCATATCGTCATAGGTTATTGCTGGTGCCTTGCCAAAGCCGTCAAGCCGAACCATCTGGGTTTGGGAAGGTTCTGCACTTCCCAGGGCTGGGCTCCATATGGGCGGCGCGGCGGGCGTCCCTGCCCTCTCCTGGCCCGCTGTGAATCACACTGATTGTTATTCAGGTGGGATGGCCCGGTCATGAACTGCACTAATCAAAAAACAAACTGCACCAAAACACTGAGGCTCACACACTGGCTCGGGCCTCCCCCTGACCTCTGTTAACCAGCCGCTTCCAATGGATGTAATGCAGGTTGTTCTTCTGGATTTTTGCACCTTCCACAGTTACCAGACATCTGTGTAAATCCCCACCCCCTCGTGTTGGGCATCAGGGTCAGTAATGTTCAACAATTCAACGTGGGAAGTCTCACTGAGGAAGTACCAGGCCATAAATTTCCTTCAACAAGAGCCACCTATCAAGCTAAGCCTTGTTAAGAAGCTTCCCAGATATTAATCACAATAAAGGCCGCCGCTCCTGTACCGTTGTGTCAAGAGAATGAAACAGTCGGAGCCTGCAGATAAAGGTTTCTCACTTCTTTACCCTTTAATATTGGAGCAGTTGTCATTTCACAGTCAATGCTGGCATGCTGGTGAGCAATCGCCCCTCTGCCTTAAGCTTGCAACGCCATGAAAAGCTGCTCAACTCACGCTGGCATACTCCACTGCTTTCCACAGGACAACGGCCTTGTCTGCACCAGTGCACACTGTATAAAGTTCCCGTTGCACCTCGTGGCTGTGTAATCAGGTAAACCCAGCATGCAACTGCACCCCAAAGGCACTTTTATTTGCCAGGGTTGCAGGCTGCCACCGCCTGCCGCTGTGCCCCCCAGCGCTGCAGTTGCAATGCCATCGGTTACTCCATGTGTGTGTTGGCATGCGTGCGTGTTTGTGTGTGTGTGTGCGCATCTGCCCATGTGAGAGAGTTCTGCAGGTCTTGGGATGCCACAGCTGAGGACAGCAGTTGAGGTTTGTGCTGGTGATGGCTCATGTCTGGAGCAGGGCTTTGCCCTCATGTTTGCAGTCTCCCCCAGCATTTGCTATATTTGTTCCCATCTCAGAATTCAAAAGGGGATAAAACACCTTGTTTACAAGAGATCACACTGCTGTGGGAATGTAACTTCTGACGACTGGCTTCCTTTATTCCTAAATGAGAGGGTGTATCAGGACTGCTAGAGGCCAAAGAAAATACAGCAGAGCATTTAAGGGCTTGGGGACCCATTTTGCTTGGATAATTTTTATTATTTTAAAAATCATTGGTCTGGTCTGAGGACTAAAGGACTGCTCAGAAGTACACAGACTCCTGCCTGCCAGGTACAACTAAAGAAAAGAGGTGGCTGGGGTGGAAAAGAATAGGGCAAGGCACAAGCAAAACAAGGTGTTTATCTGAAAAGAAACAATGCAAGCCTTACTCTTTTCCAGATAAAGCCGTGGTCCTTCAAAGACCCACATGTGCACTGTACTTGTGCGCGTGAACAGCCAGCCCATTGATTTCAGAGGTGATAGGCGCGCTGTGCAAAGTCAGAGCAGCCCCTGACCTTTGCAGAACTGTAGCCTAAAATGAATTTATGCTCTTTTAATGGAGATAAAGGCAGAAGGGGAGAACATAACTCAGGGAGACAGTTCTGCTCCATCATTCCCTCCTCGGTTAAGAGCAACTTTTTTGCCTCAGAAAAAACAGTGAGAGCTTAAGCCCTTGAAGCACTTGTAAGTAAGAGCCTCATCCCTTTCCTTAGACAGTGAGCAGCTGGCTGGGTAAGGAGCAGCCTTGCCAGACTATGAAGAGGATGCTACAGTGCTCACAGAGCAGAACTGGTTTCTGAAGGAAAAGAAATAAATCATAGAAACAACTAGGTTGGAAAAGCCCTTTAAGACCATTGAGCCCAGCCAGATGTTAGGTTGTCAGGACTGTCAAGCCCACCACTAAACCGTTTCACTAAGGGCAAAGTGGTCTCCCCTCATGGCTGCCCTTCATGGCTGCCCCTCACAATCTCCACTCACAGCCACCCCCCATCTGCCCCCTCATAGTGGCCCCACACAATATAGCTGCTGCCCCTACCCCTCATGGACATGCCCCATCTCCCAGCAAGATCTCTCCTCATGGCCAACCCTCACAGCCCATGGCTGCCCCTGCTCTCACCTCATGATCTCCCCTCACAGCCACCCCACCTCTCCCTTCATGATCTCCCCTCATGGCTGCTCCTGTTCTTCCCTCACGATCTTCCCTCACCCTTCATGGCCGCCTCTCCTGTCCCCTCACAATCTCCCCTCTCAACTGCCCCACACCTCCCCTCATGATCTTCCCTTTCTGGCATTTTTGCTTGAGGATGGGAGGTTTTTCAGATCCATGCATGCAACATGCACCCATTGGGTTTGTGACGCAGGTGCATGGAAATTCAGGAGCCTCCAGAGCTCCAGAATTTTGGAGCTACCCTCTGTCTGTGGTGGGAGTATAAGTGGTTTGCTCTGTTAAACCCACACCTGTCCCCGACAGAAAAAAGGGGCTCCCCTTTTCATGCAGCTTGGAAAACTGCTTGATCCCCTGGGTTGACTCCAATGGGAAGGGGCACACATATGCCCCTCTGCCAAGCCAGGGGTGATTCCCAGGGCACCTCTGTGCCTACGGGACACGGGTCACACTGGCTCCCATCGTGTCTGGGTGGTGAGTGAAGCAGTATGTCACGATAGCCCTGGCTATGCCTGACAGAGCTGCAAAGCAAGGGTCTCCCTTCATTAGCCCGTTGAGGAATGCAGGCTGATGCCACGTCCCCTTTTTACCCCCACAGCTCTGTTTTTGTGGGGTTGGCAGAAACTGACACTTTTTCTTTTGCTTAATTAAGTTGTTCAGAAGAAGGCTGGTCAAACAGTTGCGTCTACGTGGGGAGTCTTGAAGCGAAGAGAAAGCGGTGGGCGTTGCCAACATAAAAAGGGGGATTCTGTTATTGTTTGGGTGTAGACGGGTCATTTTTTCAAAGTTACTGCTGCCTGAGTGACCACAACTCTGCAAGCAGCAGCAATGAAAGGACATTAAAGCTGCTAAATGCAGCTACCTTGGGCTCCAAAGTGTAAGGGGAAGAAAGAAAGAAAGAAAAAAAAAGGGGGCCAAAAAAGAAAGGAACCAGAAAGCAGGAGCAGTTATTTTCTTTCTCCGGAGAAAACGTTAACTGATGTCCATACAGTGCAGTGAGAATTGCAGCGGGTCCCTCTGAGCGTCCTGTTGCAGGGGAAAAGATGACAAAGCTGGTGCCAGGAAAGCTCTGATAGGCACCCTACTAACTGTCCATCCGCATCCCTGCGTTAACAGCTCATTTGGTATTCATCCCCAGCAGAGGAAAAAGCCCTAGCAACAATTACCCATCTCTTTAAGTCCACCTGGCTTTCAGCAGAAGCCTGCCTGTGTTTCCAAGAACCATTAGTATCCCAACTCTGAGGGGTGGTTCTTGTATTTTGGCAGTCCAAAGGCAGGCCTTTGACCCTCAAAGCTCAGCATTACACACGGCTGTGGTGTCTATATGCTGCTTCATGCTCTGAAATATTCACTGACATTTTACTGCACAGGTTTCAAATCCAGCAGGACGTGGCTTCTAATGCGAGCGACTGAGCAAAGTGCAGGTCTTACGTCCACCAGCACAGCTCTCTTCAGGCAGCCTCAAAAACCCTGACTTAGCCATCACTGTGGTGTGAAGTTAGGCTTATGGTGCACAACATGTTGCTTAGCCACAGTTTGCCACTTGACCAGTACTCATGGGTTATGACTTTATAGCCATGCAATTGCACCTGATAGAGTCAGATACGCATGGCAGGCCCAGCATTGGCATCAGGCTAGGGATTTTTAATTGAGACCATGGATCAGAGGAGGATGCCTGCTGCCCCAGTAGCAGTCAGAGCTGTTTTGGGTTGTGGTGCCAAACCCTCCTCTCTGGGAGCTGGAGGGTTATATCTCTATGCAGTTCACAGACCCACCACTCAGACACCACAGCCTCGAGTGTTTAGCTGTATAAAACTGAGGCTGTTATGCAGGATTTGGAAGCGTCCACACCTTACTTTGACTAAAAGCTGATGAGGAATATATGTTCTTGATCCACAAGCCTGTTTGCAAAACCCAGTGATTTTCCCCTCCAGGGTCTGGACTCAGGCTGAAGGTCCCAAATCTCCCTGAATTTGCAGGCCTTCTCTAAGGAGCACTGCAAAATGCCTCTCTCCATCTCCTTCCCACTGCACAGACTTAAGCAACCAAAACACCCAGTGTCCTCCATCCCCACCCCACCAGACCTCCAGATCCCACTCTAGGGTCTGCTCCATGGGGAGCACACAGGAGACCCACAGCTGTTCCTGATGGCTGCAGCAATCAGCATTCCTCTTTGACAAGCAGTACACGGCTGGCAACTTTGCTTTATTCTAGGTGTCTCTCCTTCCTTCCTTTCTTCCTTCCTTCCTTCCTCCCTCCCTCCCTCCCTCACCGGCTGGAGTCGGTCACAGGTTTTCATGCAGTGTATGCACAGCCCCTCGCAGCCGTGCACTCCAGCTGCTGGCAAGAAAGAGCCTTTTTGTTCGTCTGAGACTCCACCGACATGATGTCTTTACTCCCAGGAAAACAGAAGGCCTTCCTTGACATGGGCAACCCCAAAAGGGTTGGGATGCTGAAGGGAAGGTCCTAAAAGACAGAAAGGAGGATTCACAAGGGCTGGATGGAAGCCATCGCACCATTCCTGGCACTGGCCCTTCCACATGGGGCTCTGCCGCCTGGCAGGACAAAGAGCGCGGTTTTTACCAGCCCCATGTTCTGCTGACGAGCGCATAATAAACTGACAGAGGGAGACGAAGCAGCATTTCAAAGCCCCACGTGCGGAGGAGGTAGAGCATAGCGGGAGTGGGGATGGACACTTTCTGCAGGTGTTCGGCCAGTGTCCCCCTATTTGCATACATTTGCATACTGTCAAATAGTTGCCTGACAGACTCTCTGAGAAGGTCTGGACTGAACCCAAACCTGTCAGGGACTTTCTCCTTGCCAGTCAAGGTTGGCTTTGGTTACAATTAGAGAGAGGAAAGAAGTACTTCTGACATTGCCATATAGGAAACTATGGATGGGGTGAGTTTAAACAGAAAATGTATGTTTTCTTCAGGAAAAAAACCCTCTGAATTACTCTGCCAGGCCTGGGGGAGAAAAATGGGGAGAAAAATGAATTTTACCTCTTTGGTCTGGAGGAAAATATCTTTTTCCCTCCTCACTTGCTGGCCAGCGCTCTGTGTGTTACCAGCTCGTGGGAGAGCCACAGCCAAGGGAGGGCTTTCAGCAGTACAGAACAATAAATAACCAGAGATGGACTTGGCAATGATCTACCTGCCCAGGCACCACACCTGTACAGGGACCTACAAGCAGGAAACAAAGGCGTGATGCTCCTGAACCCCTCAGCCATGGGTACAATAGTGGTGGAAGATGTTCGCCAGTGAGGGGGCAGAGGATGGAGGGGACACGAGTGCTTAGCAACATTAGACAATGGCAAGGCATGAAAATACCTCACGGATATTTACTGGGAGAAAAAAAACAGAAGAGACAATGAGGATATGTTTTGGAAGCCCACACCCCTTTTACTTGTTGTTTTACATATTCTTCCCTCAGCCGTGAAAATTTCATACTTCATCTTTACCCGGCGGTGGACACTAGAGTTTCACGAGCAGGGGACAATAGGTTCTGTTTATTCACCCACAATAAAGAGCCTGTTTAACTCTGGACTGCAAGTGGCTGAGCCATCTGGCCCATATCTTCACAGTAAAACATTGTCCATGACACAAAAAATGATTACATCCACAGGACAAACTAATGTGACCTCTAAATAAAGCCTTCCTCTGAAGCTATGATATCATACTGCAGAGGGGACACCGGCACAATTGAATCTGGTCACCCAGAGCACAAGTGAGATAGGACTATTTAAATCCAATTTTACAGGAGACTTTTTGTCCTCCGTGGCAAACCACCCAGATCCGACGACAGCATTGAAACATCTTTTTTTATGCACTCTTAAGGCAACAGAGCGGTTCTGTCTGGCTTTGGCAGTCCTCTTCAGCTTGCCCTGGGCCCAGGAAGCACCCGTCCATTTTCAGAGCCAGCACCTGCAAGCTTTTCTTCCAACAGCATTTTACTGATGGAGCACCACCTGCACTGGCCCCCTTCTCCTTTTTTCCCCCCTCCGATAGTGGGGAAACAAGCATCTCTTTCTGCTCAGTGCCAGTTGGAAAAGTCCAAGTCTGCCACGGCCTCACAAACAGTTTCTGAGCTTGAACAAGGCGCCCTCAGCCCTGCTGTACCTGAATGGCAGCTTCATGGGGCAAAACAAGGACCCCGGCAAAAGGCCCATCTCAATAGCAGGAACGTTGCTCTCTCAAAGAAGGCAGTTTATCTTTGCTGGTACGGTGCTCTTACCACTGTATCTCTTAGAGAAATGTTTGTAAAAGGGGATGATAGATCTAATTAAAGAGGTAATCCCTTTACAGGGACAACGCTGCTGATGTGTGGATATTTACAGACTGTGGGAATGCTTTGCAGTAACCCCAATGATTAATACGAGCAGAACACCCATTTTATGAAGATGTGTGTCTGTTTGGCTGGAAGGCGCTCTGACAGGCAGGCAGGCTAAAGGGTATCTCTGCAGCGCTGCGTGCTCGCAGGCATGCACGTCCCTTCCACTTACACAAGTGCTGGCTGCTGTTCCTTTTGCTAGGGTACTGCCTGCACTGGGGCAGGATCAGATCCATGGGCTTACAGGCACTAAAAGCAAAAGGTGGTCAGAGAGGATAAAAATGGACAGGAGGCCTTTGCCAGCAAATTACTTCCCTGTGATAATTTCGATAAATTTGGGGAAGCAAACCTTGTGGTAGACACATTAACAGTGATAGCACCTGCCTGGGAAAGCACACTCTCCTCGCACAGGTCAAGCAGGCTTTGCAGCTAATTCATAGCAGCAGAACTGCAACTATAATGAACTGAAAATAAAATCATGAGCAGGCTATCTTGCCCAGTTTTATCTTGGCTCTTTGGAACTGAAATCAGGACAGGTTCAAACCTCTCTTTTCATATTAGCAGAAATTCTTTTTCACTCTATCTTTTCATATGAAAATACAGTTTGCAGGGCCAATAAACAAAAAAAAAAAAAACTGGTCACCAACATAGAGTTTTCAATGGCAAAGTCTCTTAATCCACTGTGGAATTATAAACCTCGCACCCAAAGGATTAAACTTCTCCAACACAGATCATTAAATGGTGCCGCATTTTTGGCATGGCACTTCTGTTACTCACATAGGTTTCCAAACCCAGGCCTCTTAGCCACACAACACCTGGCATTAAAAATCCTGCAAGTTTCCTTGAAGCCCTGAAAAGTACCCTGAAAAATGCAGCAAAAGCTTTGGTCCTGGGGCTCAGTGCCAGTGCCACTGATCTGGGACCAGCAGGGAGCTTTCACTGATGCTTTCTCATGTTGGGTCCATTGACCTACACAGGCAAGAACACAGTTCCCACTAAAAAGCAAATGTTCAAATTCATCCCAAACACAGCAACTATATACATATATATATGTACAGACACATGCATTCACAAAACTCCAACATTATCAGGTTGAAAGAAGATTATTCAAGTCCAAATGCTGGCTTCCCAGAAAAAAATGCATTTGAATTTAAAAGACCATTTGCTAAAGGCATAATTATCAGTAGGATATAGCGAGATTCTTTTTTAAAGCAAGAGGTAGATTGTTTTGCCAGAAAAAAAGGCACCTTTTTGTTTTGCTGGCTCTTTACTTTCTTCTTCCTTTTCCTGTACTGAAGCAGAGATTTAAATACCTTGTTCCACCATCTCAAAGATTATCTAGTAGGAAAACTCCCTGGAGAAAGTACATAGCTCCCCAAAGACAGTGATTTTTTTGCTTCTTTCAAACATCTTTCATTCTAGCTCTTCCCTTTCTCTCTTTCTCTCATTTTAATCCCTTTGAACTGTAACACTGGATTTATTTGAGCCCTGCTTCTCCTCCTCTGTATGTTAGCAGTTATCTGCAGTAACTCCCAATACCTTGATAGAGTAATAGCGAGGTAACTGAAAGGGAAAATCAACCATGACTTTGCACTGAAGTTCAATTACATTTTTAGACAGTGAAGTAGAATAAGAAACAAAATAAATAAAAAAGGGAGAAATGCCTTCTCCTTCACAGTCCTTCCTGCCACAAGCTTGCAGACACGGAGTGTGGGCAAAGCAGGCAGCAGTTCTGCTCAGGGCAGCGAAAGATGTGCACTGGGGTTTAGCTAGCTATTAGCACACTGTGTACAAACAAAGCAGAGAAAGGGGAAGGGTAAATTCTGCTTTTCCTGTAAAATAATGAGCAGTTGGGATGGAGCTACCTCTCTCGCAAATTGAACTCCACCCATACTGTGTTACAAATAAAAGCCCTGGGATTCATTGCACCAGGCTTCAGGTGTACAATGGTTAGGCACCCCAACCCACCGCAGCTCCCTTGACCACCAAAGAGAGAAGATGCTTCTCACTTCACAACAGGTTTCCCGGGGACATGGTAGGAGAAAACTGGGGGGAGAGGACTCCCTTGTAAAGATGCCTAATGCTCTCCCATGGTGTCACTGCTCCCCATACCTGTCTGGAAAGCAACCAAACAGCTGCATGGCTCCAGGCACTGGCCCCAGCCCACAGTGGAATGGGAGATTCATCTGCTAGAAGACATATTCGGTCACCCCTGCCTTACTTCCTTCCAGGAAGTTGCTTTTGTTGCCTTCAACTCTAAGAAAGTGCTTCTTGTCAGCACAGCAGAAACTTAAGCAAAACCAGTAGAGAGCTGTGTAGGCAGTTCTCCAATGGAAAGGGGCTGGAGCTGGCCATGCAGGTTGCTACAGGAGTGGGCAGGGCTAATGTAAAGGTTCTCTAGCAGGGTTCCAGAAGACTCAACCTATGAAAAAAATGCAGGAAACAGAAAAATACTGCATGCTGTAGGTATTCTAGGGTCACTACTTAAATATTTCTTGTCTCTTGTACATAAATTACTGGGGTTTCTTTCCCACAGGGCAAGGAAATGACCAGTTCGACCCTCCAGTCTCCCATGTTTCCTGCTGGAAAGGGATGGGGGTGAAAACAAAGATAATACTGAGAACTACAGCATTTTAGTCTGCTCATTTGCAAGGTTTCTTTGCTAATTATGACAACATCACAACACTGAAAGAGGGTGACTAACCCAGCCAAAAACTTCCTATTGGAAAACCCACACTAGCATCTGCAGTGGCAAGAACCCAGTCCCCATCACTGGTCTTTCCTGACTTTTGGAGGAGCTGAAATCTGGACCACATCTTTTTGCTTGGGCACATATGTAAATAGCCCAGATGTTGCAAAAATGTCCTTTCAGCCTTATTTTTTTTTTTTTTGGAGGGGATAAACTGGTCAGGATTAGATTACATTGAACGTAGGCATAGACTTTCAATTTGCTCTTGTTCAACAATTTAGGAAATTCAGGTGAATTTAAAAAGGCTAAAGGAAACTTTTTAATGAGATCTAGTTACGTGAGTTATGGTCAAGCCTTTCAAAAAACACTGCTACTTTGAAAACTTCTGTTAGATTTTCCATTAGGGAGTCTGGATCATCTAGGTCTTGACTGGTTCTTATCTCTTAGGCACCGTGACCTGACCTAATGGAATGGTTTGTGACAGGAGGGATTTTAAAGTATCTGGTAGACAACAGGAGTCATTGTGCTATGATAAAGCACCTGCACTTGGGGTGGGCTTCCGGGTGTGCTGATTTTGTAATTGTTTTCTGAAGAGGCAAAAGCTGAAAACCAGATTGTTGTAGGAAGGTAGAAAAGGAGAGCAAGCGAGACAAGGAGTGTGCATCTTATGCTAGAGAACAAAACTAAGTGCTGTCAATTACAATGTGCCAGAAATGGCAATTGCTTTAAGGCTGCAGGACACAGATAAAATCTTTCTGTGCTATACAAGAGAAATAATGGCTGGAGTAGATTAAGAAGCACTACAGAAGCACAGGTAAGGTAATGCTACTTGAGGGTTTTCTGTCACTTACATACAACATATCAGGGACAAGCACAGTTAGGAAATGTACAAGGTAGACAGCCTAATGAAAACGGAGAGAGGAAAAAAATCCAAACAAACAAACTTGAAAGAAATAAACTTGAAAGGTGTTGGCTGCAGCTTCCCACCTCCATGTATTCACCTTGGGTACCTCTTTCTGCATCTTTTACTTGCTCCAAGTCTTCTTTACTATGGTAGTTGGACTGTGCAAACGTGGATCAATGTGGCTGAATCACAGGACTTGCAGAGATGGCCTCTGATTCATCAGCCTGCACCACTGCACTCACTGATAGTCTGGAATACCCGTCACATGCTTACTGAAGTGTTGATAGTAAAACCATCAACATCTTTCCTGGGAGCTACAGCAGCAAGCATTTACATCAGTTTCAGAAAGCCTTTTCCTGAGCTGTACTCTGTGCCCTATGAAATATAACTTATTCAGCTTTCTTGGGGGAAACAAGGAGATAAATTTCTGGTCTGGTTGCAGACTTTGGATATGAGAGATCCCAATGGATGTCTAGAAAGTTCCTTACAGGTGCATGTTTTGCAGTATCAGGAGCCAGCATTGTGAGGCTTCTCCTAAGAGCAAGAACTGTTGGTTTAAGCATTCTCAGTAATATTGTGTTAGTCACACATAGTGGTGATTTCTCCAAGCTTTTTATAGTGTGTTTCTTTCAGGGATATGCCCCTTTACGCTGCCACCAACCTATTTATTTCCATTTTAGTCAAATCCTCCCTGTCCTTAATCCCAGTTTCAAAATATAATAGGCAAATATGTAAAGCTTCAGTTTCTTTAGCTAAAAGAGCATGCATTTTATTTACAGAGCTTTCTATTTCTTCTAACATGTCACCATAATTCTATATAACACCTTCTCAGCTAATTTCCCTGCAATAATTTCTGGTGGTTTCAGCTACCTGCACCAGAAAAATCCTGCAGCTTAAACCGATGCGAATCTAAACCAGCACTACTTGCCTCTAGATATGTCCATTTAATATATCCAATACAAGCAGCCAACTGCTGTTCTCAAAAGACTATCTGACAGATTCTATTCACTTTCAAAGTAGCTCTCCATGGTTTGAATAATTATCTTTCATTTCCCCCTTTCTGACACTTTTCAATGATTTGTTGACATCTGAAGAGATATGTGCAATCTCACAAGAGGCAGCTGGACTTTCTACCCAAAAGATACAAATACAAAAAGGATTCCCATACAGAATTTGAAATAACTATGTTCTTTGCAAATGGAAGACTAAATCTGCATTTTAATGGGACATGTTTTTAAAAAGCGGAATTCATGAATAACCCTATGAGTTTTAACTTTTTCACTGCCAGTGACAAATCAGAACTACCCCTGGGAAGAAATCCTACCTTCTTTTTGTCCAGTTTGCTTTCCCAGCACTCGCTGCCATAGTGGCTGGAGCTTTCCTGCAAAATGCCTTCCTTGCCCTCCTGGCACAAAGCTGAAGATGAAGCTCTCATGCCTAGCATGCACATCCTTTAGCAGCTACCCAGGTTTGGAAAACAAGCGTATCCCCCCTGCTGTCTGTGTGCAGCCAAAATCACATGAAGCCCACAAATAGGTAATATATCTAGGCAGCTATCCAACCTCCAGCACAGGGCAGTCTCCAAACTCAACAGAATTTATGCTTACACCAGTTGTGTGAATCCTTGTTTACAGGTGGAAAACAAAGGCAAAAAGAGCACAGAATTCAATGCCTCACTCAGGATCACACAACAAGCCAAAATGTGATGCCTGTTTGTGAACATCAGTCCGTTACTGGATGCTTTCCCCATTACTTTGCCTGCATAACTATTTTGTTTTACTTGCACTGCGACATGTTAAATTGTCCCTGTCAGGAAAGGGCTTTATCCCCTCATCCCACCTAAACAGTGTATGAAAAAATAGCATTAAGCAACAAGTTTTGTGTTTTGTTCTTACGTTATAAAATGTTGTGTTTATTCTCTTTGACTCCCAATAGATTAATTCCTCAGGGTACAAAAGAGGACACACAAGACCTTTTTCTCCCTATGGCCTCTCTCTCTTGCTGATGATGGCATCAAATGGGTCTCTGAGACATGTAGGCGCAACAGCCTGGGCAAGGGTGGCTGGAGCATAGGTCACTGCTGTAGGGCCCGGTGCAGCCCAGATGCATTTTGCTCCATGGAAGTCCCCCTTTGTGGGAGGTCTGCTACCCAGCACCCTGAGCTGGTACCTTGCTTGTATGCCCCAGGCAGAGTGAGGAGCGTGCAGTGGGACTGGGGGGAGCACAACACAGTCAACAGTTAAAAAGTAAGTGCTGAAAAATGCCAAGTTGGATGGGGCTTGGAGCAGCCTGGAATGCAGGTTACTAGTAGAATGTGCCTCTGCCTGTGGTAGGGGGGTTGGAACTAAATGAGCTTTGAGGTTTCTTCCAACCCAACTGTTCTGTGATTCTATGAGAAAGAGGTGGGCCGAAGGAAAGAGAAGCACCTGAGTTGTGATGGCAGGAGGAATGGAGAGGCAGAAGCACAGCACTCTGTAGTTTCAAGCAGTGTTATGGGAAGCCCGCTGTTGTCCAGACTGCTACTCTGGTGCCTCAACGATCTGGAAGCACACAAAGCAGTAAGCAGGAGGAGAGATTCGGGGCATTCCTGGAAATTCCCACATTGTGAAATCATATCTCATGCCACGAGCCAACGAACCGCTGCGTGAAAACCCACCCGGTCTGGAGCCGTGGCTACCAAATGTGGCGTCCCACCACCACGCACGTGTAAGGTACTACTACCGTTGAGAAACAGCCCCAGCTGCGTCAACTTGCCTCCCCGGAGGCGCTCAGGGCAGCTCTGTGTCTTACCGGGAGCTCTAGATCTGGCGGTTCTTCCCGGGGCAGCCCCGAGCACCCTGGCACGGACAGTAACCGGGAAGGCCGCGGTGTCTTACAAGGAAGCTGGAATGGGGGAGCTTTAACCCCCTGCCACAGAGAGCCGAGCAGGAAGAGCCGCCTCAGCCATCCCGCGCCGCAGCGCCGCCTGCCGGCCCCGGGGCGGCCCTGCCGGTGACTGAGGGAGAGCCGAAAGCGGCCGGGCTCTCCTCGGGCTCTGCCGCCGCGCTCGGCTCAAGCGAGGGGAGCAGCGGGCTCCCGGGCGAGGCGCTGCCACCCTTTGCTGTGGTGAGAGCCAGCGACCCATGTATTCAGACAGCCCTGTCGGACAGCCGGTTCCGCCGCAACGGGAGAAATAATCCAGCGTCCTGAAGCGACGGCGTGGAGGGTTCAAGTCATTACAGCAGTAATTGTCCGTGGCATTTACGATTTTAATACTCGGCTCCTGTAAATAAAGGCCGGTCACGTAAAGTATTCAGCTTTCATGTATAACAAATGCTAGGATACTTATTTACACACACTGAATTGTAAAGCAAGTTGAGCAAACAGACCAAGGCAGCAGATACCCCCCAACGCCCTCCTCCCCTCCAAAGTGGATTCCCAGCTTCCAGGGCCACATACAACCCCACAGTGCTGCTGCTGCTCACCTGCCAGGGCCACACACCAATACACCCGCTGAATCACTCAGGTCCTTGGTTCGCTTGCTGAAGATCATTGATTAACATCATGTACATTCCAACCCTAACTATGCTATGGTTCTGTTTCTTGAGTGCCAGCATAGACTTGGATGTAAATTGATCCATGAGGAAAAAAAATAAGAACAGAATAAAGACACATCAGATATAAAAAGTACAGAGATAAAAACCTGGTGTGACCTGATATTGCCATTGCTGATATCTAGTTTAAAATAAATAATTTTCTAGATTGTGGCACCAAGCTAGACAAGTGCACCATTTGGCTGTAGGTACCATATACTGTAATACTTGTTGTTCAGTCAATGCACACTCTAGAAGCAGGGCAGTTTTAGAGCAAAAGCCGGTTTTGCTTGGGCCCAGACCTAATGGTGATGTGTGAGACCTCAGAATACCTCCGTTTATTTCCTGCAGGTGTCACCTGTCTGAAATCACAGGGAGCACTTAGGAGGCTCTGCTTTCACCTCGATCTGCCCACAATGACTTCTTCAAACAGTTTCACCAAGCATTTTGTTTCAGAGGCCCTCCAGCTTGTTCTGGAGATGCTGCTTGATCCATGAGAAAAATGTAAGCCTTTGCTTATCCATCTCTGTATCTGTGGCCTCAGCTTTGAGGCCCACTGGGACTGGTCCCAGAGCAACCAGCTAGTGCAAAACTGGAGGACATCTTTGCATGCTCAGCCTGCCTTTTGCTTGTGGTTTAACTCCTGAGGAAAAGGGGTGTTGTGACCAGGATTTGTCAGCCCATGTTTCCTTTGGAGCCATTGACCAATTTCAGCTAAACCTGGCTCTGGCACTACATATGGATTCTATATTTTTGCAAGATTTTGTGAGCATCAGAAGCAGGCAGTGGTCTCAGCAGGGTGCCTTCTGCTGAGGGATGGGGGCAAAATCCAGCTCTCTGCCCGTGCCAGCAAGTGCCAGCTTCTGGCAGACCTTGCCTGAGGTCAAGCAAGGCCTGCTACTTGTTTTCCTCCCCAGCTTCCTCAGCCCACAGCAACTAGAAAGAAACAGATTACGTTGTCTTCTCCTTAAGTAAGTGTGGGGCAGGTTAAGATTCGTGTGTTGATTTTCCAATTCCTCTGTCAAGCTTCATGTAAAGGCACAAATATTTCCCAGAGACAGTTGATACACCACTACTGTGGAGTTAAACATACTTCTCACCATGACAAGACCGGAGGCTAAACAGCATAAATGCTTTTATTGTGCCTAATT